AATTTATGAGGCACTACAGGTAAAACTAGATGCTGCTTCCTCATGGTGGTGCTGTGATTTCTGTTTAGAAGGCACCGCTTGAAAGTATCGTTTAAAAAGTTTCAAAGAGGAGAACGAGGAGGGTCATTCCCACGGGACATGATGTGTAGTTTAGATTTAGTTTGAAAAGGTTTGTGGTTGTTGTCAGTAAAATTTGAATGCTACAGCAGTTCTGTCACAGAGTTTATTGGATAATTTGACGGTTAAGACCGAGAATGAGCTAAAGTTGTGATGTCTGTTTAACCAGGAAAAAAACATCTACAAATCTCTACTGGGAAAACGTTTTCTCGTTCGTGCTTATTGCTGAGGATGACTTTTTGGGAGGGAGCATTCTTTGACTTTCCAGTTTGAAATATTAAAATAATGATTGAATTTGAGCAATGTTTACCGCTTATGGTGATAAAACCCAGCAGTTAGAAATAATATTAAAGATTTAAGAAAACTTTCCACGCTGTCGTCTCTAAAATTAAACACACTTTTAATTGATTTCAGAGCACCAAATGCAAAATAGATAATCCATTCAGTTTAAAATGTAAAGATAAGTTTTCTTATCGCACCAAACAATTTTTTAAAATAACTTTCCAATTTTAAAGGACTGGATCCCTCGTTTAATCACTACATTTGTAGTAGTCACTAGTAGGAATGAAGGTCTTGTAAGTCACTTTCAGGGGGAGAAATATACCGGTGCACCATTTCCAGGAAGTAGAAGTGAGCCACATCACAGCTGAGTTTCAGACGGCAGGTTGTGGAGTCTCATTTCCTGATATTTGGACATCTCGCCTCTGATTGGCTAACAACAAAACAACTCTACCACTGACGTACAACATTGATGCTTTATCTCCACAAATAACACTAGCCTGAATGAGTTCTGCCGTGTGGTGAAGCTGCTATTGCTAATGGTTAGCTTCTACTAGTGGGGATGTTCTCTGCTGTTGCCAGGACGGTAAACCAACAACAGCCTTCCCCGTCGTGAGCCAAGATGGGTGAGTCCATGACAGTGTGATGTAGATGTGTCAGGCTTTTCATATCCTAGAGTTTCGTCGTCTATTTTCTATCAGAAGCTAATGCAGTTCGGTGTAGGAGACTATTTTCATGTTCAACTTGCTTGAAAAACTCAGAGTGACCGATAAGAAATAAGACTTTAAAAACACTTTTTTTAGTGTTCGACACTTTTAAACCAAAGTCCTGCTTTTGGACACATCTCATTAAGTGGACATAAAGTCAGTTGAAAGGTCAAGTTTTAACCAGCTTTGACTCTTTTTGCCCTGAATGACACCACAGAGTGAATGCAAGCAGTGGAAGTGAAGGTGTCAAAAGGTCACTCGAGGGATCAGGGAGGTATGAATAGTCTTGTAGAGCCTATTACATCCGTCATTTCAGCTCAAATGTGCAAAGCACTCATGTAGAGTAAACTATGTTGGCTGAATGCAAACCTTTTGACATCTAAATCTATATCAATACGTTTACAGAAATCGCTGCCAATTTTTGTTCGATTCTTAGACAAAACATCTTTGTAGGCCATAAAAATGCCCACTGGGCTTTCAGACACCTGCTCCACGCAGTCACACACAACATTTTTCCTCTATTATTTGATTTACAGTCAAAATCGAGGCAATGAGCTGTTCTGTTCTTACACTTTGAAGAATGACACTTAGCTTTTTCAGTTTCCAGAGCTAAAATGCTGCTTCATTATTTAACAGAAGAGTTTTGAGTTGAACTGAATCAACTCACATTTGTCATAAATTTAGCAAATATTTTCATTTATTGTTAAAAAAAAAACAAATGTGCATTACTAAAAAATGTTGTGTACGTGTCTGTTTGCTTTTGGAACAGAAACCTACATTTAATTGGCTTTGATCAGCCACCTGATGTCAAAATAAACTGGATCTAATTCAAAATAAAAACCTATTATTTGACACCTTTACTCAAAAGATGCTAACATTAGAGTCCTTGTTCAGCTTTCACTATCAGCGTCTAATGAAGGACAGCTCATCAAATACTGATGGAGCAAAGTGAAAAGTCGCGACACGATCAGTCATCACAACGAATAACCTCCATGATGTTACGTAACCCTATGAGCTGTGCGGACAGAAGCTGAGCTCACGATAAACTGACTCTGAAGCCATCAAGACTGATTGAGCTCCATTTAGTCCTTAAACTGAGCAGACTGTCTCTGATCCTGACTGAATCCGATTCAGACTGCGTCTCCTTTGGGTGAAGTTCTGGTGAAGTCATCCAGCAATCATCACAAGAATTCTGCAAATAAAAAAATACCGAAAGTTGCAAAATCTGATCTTTACTCAGCTCTCATGGATGAGTGGAGCAGAGTTAAGCAGCTGCTGGTGGTGGGGGTGCCTAGAGAAGGGTTGAGTTAAATTAATTGGTACTGTCAGAGGGGTCAAAGGTCACAGTGCCCTGACAAACAAATAAGCCACCCAGCGAGGAAGTCAACAAGAGATGCTCTCCTGTGAAGTCCTGGCAACAGAAGCTGCTGGTGAACATGTGTGTGACAAATGTGCTTTCTGAACCAATGGCAGGGCCTCTGTCATCACCACATGGGTTACCACACAAGCACAGCCGAGAGGGAGGGGAGGAGGAGGAGAAACAGTGGCTGCAGACAGATAACAAGGCCGACGCTGATAAGGTGGGTTAAGTATTGTCTGTTTGGAAACAGCTTTCTGGTTTCTCTGCAGAATCTGCAGCGTAAGCTGAGTGCGCTGCTTCATTAGGGTTAAGTGTAACGAGGACCCCCTGTTGGGAAAATCATGGGAGAGATACTGCTGTTAGCTAGTCTGCAGGTTTTACTGTGGTTCCTATTGTTTCTCCTTAGGGCTTAATGACCCCCAAACTCTCCTGATGGCCTCTTTCTGCCATCCTACCGCATTAAAATTAGATTTTATACACTACTGTCTTGAGAAACTAAATTAGGAGAGACCAGGGGGTCCTCACACGCTGCTCCCCTTTTGAGACTCCATCACAAAAACCTGATGATTCATCTCCCTTTTCCTCTACATCCACTTTTATGCAGCTTTACATATGTTTCAGTCGTTCCTCTTGATTTTCCGGACTTTGATTTCATAATTTTATTTGCCTCAGCCCCCTGTCTGTCTTCCTTCTCATGCTCTGTTTGTATTTTTCTTTCTCCTTCTTTTCCCCTCGCCAGCTCTGGAAAGTACATTCACACAGCTCAACAGTGACACAAGGACCGTCCTCCTCCATGGCAGCCCATGCTTGTGTTTTTTCAATTAAGCCGGGCTCCCGTACATTTGGGAAACCATAATTCTCATGGTCCGGCAGAAAGTAGTGGAAAGTAGCTTAGTCTTTTTTTTTTTCTTTTTCTGTCTGCGACAGAAAGACCCGTTCTCCTGAAGCATGTCAAAGTAGTGAAGTCGGAGAATAAAATCATAGGAAAACAGTCCATGAGATCCCAGAAGGTGTTGATAGGAAGGCCTCGCTGAGGGGTGTCAGCGAGCAGCAAGCCGTGGGGTGAAAGGGAGCAGGAAGGAGGTGAGGAAAAGAATACAGATGGATTTCCCAGGGAATGTGGATGAAAGTGAACGAGTCACAGGCCGGATCTAAATTGCCCAGCAGGGAGGAGGATAGATCCACTGAAATCACTTCAAAGCCCAGTGTCACCGGACAGCAGATTCCTCTTGTCGATTATATTTACAGAGATGAGCTCCAGCAGCCTGCTGCATCCATCTGCTTTCAGCAGAAACGCAAAAAGAGGCATCTCCACCACTCTGTGCTCCATTTATCAGCTCATTAAAAACGACACTTGCTGCAATTTAAGCATCTTACCAAACCAGAAATGAATCACCCCTAAAAAAGGGAAAATCCTACATTTTTATCCAATTTTCACACTGACCTAAATACTGAGCTGCGTCGTTAAAAAGGGCAGCAACAAAATAAAAAGTGTCTTTCCATGTAGTTTTCCTTGAAAAACCTTACTGCTGAGGCAATGGCACCGACATAAAAACAACATAATAAACAGAAAGACGGGTTTGAAAAACACAGTAGAGTCAAAACTAGAGGGAGGAAGTTTAAAGAGTTTCTGCAAGATGCTAGTCAGGATAAATTAATCAGTTCAAAGAATCAGGGGAACAAATTCAACAATGAGGAGTGGACTTCTGTACAACTAATAAACTTTGTGTTTGTGCACAAAAATATGATAACAACTCCTCAAAAATCCCTGTTGAGCTCAAATTTGCGAAGTCTGGCAGAAAAAGAGCAGCTTTGATCTGCATCATAGGTGCACGAGTGTGACTGACAGGTGAGTCACCCTGGTCTTTTACGTACATCTGACTTGATGTAGCTGAATCTTGTCAATATCAGTGTCCTGAATTCACAAATATGCCTTAATGAAACAGCATGCATGGTAGGACTTGCACCGTTCCCTGGGATAACCACATGGAGAAGAGGGGTAGCAGCAGCTGAGTCTCAGAGGCTGCACTAGCTTGGGTGACAGTTGTTGCACCAAAACCATCCACCATAAAAAAGTAACTGTGTTTAAAGAATCCTCTGAATTTGGAAAATGTGTGCAGATTTATAAGGCACATGCACACATTCCAATCTGTTTCGAATTGGAAAGGCTTACTTAACCTTTTATTGTTGCTAAAGTCCCCACCTTATCAACTTTCCATGCTTTTCAAGAATGTGGTAGAGATAATTCCTCATCACTAATGTAAACCTTACACACTTACTATGGATCAGTTTATTTTTATACACGAACTTCAATGTGTGAGCATGCACATAAAGTTACAGTATAAACACACACACACACACACACACACACACACACACACACACACACACACACACACACACACACACAGAAATCCAGCAGTGGGAGTGACCAAACGTGGACAACCCCTTGCTCTCACCCCCGTCACCCACCACCACAACAATCAGCTGAGACAGACGGCAAACTATCACAGGAGCAGCTTGAGAGGATGTCTTACCTCAAGAGAGAATCTGTGAAGTTGACAAAGGCGGAAGAGTCATGACTGTAGCGTTTTCCTTCAGCCTCGCTCTCTTTGTGTCACTCCGCTGTGGCAGACGGGAGCCGGGACGCACAGAGCGGGGCAGCTTTCAGACTCTGAGAGGTCTGTGGAGCAGCGCAGATCTAGCCCATCCGCTCACAATCTGCCTTCTGAGGATGAAAAGAGAAGACTTCATTACCAACAGAAACCACGCCTCCGCCCCTCTGGTCTCCCTCCTCCTTCTCCTCTTCTCCACTGCCTCCTGGTTTCCTCTTCCACACTCCCAGGCAGTAGCACGCTCCAGGGCCTACAGAGATCAGACAGCCCAGAATAAAAAAAGGAAAGGGAAAAGCTCCCAACTTAAAGCCTGCCAGTGCAGTGTAGAGCGAAGGAGGACAGAGAAGGAGGTAGAAAGACAGAAGTACAGTTTAGAGCAGGTAAAGAGTGGTGTGAAGGAGGGAGAGACAAGTCAGACAGAAAGAAAAACCACAGACGGAGTCAGGCTCAGACAGAAAACCAATTAGAATGTTAAAAGAAGAAAAGGCTTATTCACCGGGGTTGTTAGAAGTTTTAATTAAGACTTACTGTATGATAAGTCACATCAAAAGACGCAGTGCGGGTGTGTGTGTGAGGGGCAATTGTTCCTGTGTATTTGTGCATCTACAAACCCAAATCTCTGCTTCATCACTCAAAATAAAGCTGCCAACCTTCGTGCCTCCTCATCCTCGCTGCCTTTTCCAAAAGAAAAACCAAACTCTCTGTTCATCAGATGCTGGGGGGGACTAGACCTAAACGCATTAGCTGTTTACTGTCTGTAATTATAAGGGGCTGGGTAAAGTCAGCTCAGGAAAGCTCTGCACCCTGCCCCCCAGTGCCACCGCACACTCAAACCCAACTCTGCCAGGCCTGCCAATTTAAACTGGAATCTGGAGCAGAAAGAGAGAAAAACACAGAAAAAACTTTTGCTGAAAGTTTCAAGTCAACTTTTAATAACTTCATCTACAATAAAAGACATAAACAGCGCAGATTTCTCAGCCTTATCTTAACTTGTTTGGTAAATTCCTGACATAGGGTTAGGGTTAAGCGTGAGCCGAAGTTTAGAGAGCTACTGCGCAAAAATAAAAAAATCATCTTCATTTTGCAAAGCGTACAGGATGGGTTTTACCACATCACCACGACTGCTGGTTTGATCAAACAAAGAGAAAGAATTATCTTAAAAATGAAGAGACACTATACAACTTTAAAAAATAATTTAAAACCATTTTCTTGAACAAGTATGTGCCAAAATGACCCTTAACAAAGTAAACGAAAGGCCACCCAGCCCAAATGGTCCCCTGTGGCCAGATTATCCAGTTGCAACTTCAGAGTTGCTGGTCTGGTTGCAGCACATATCCTGCATGTTTTAGATCATGACACAGCTGATTTGTTTGATTTAGTGATGAATCACTCCTGTAGACACTAATGAAGGCTGGGGAAACATTTCTGCCGTTAGATTAAGGTGTTAAAAAGATGAAAGCACAGCAAGGAGAAAGGTTTTGCTTTTGGTCCTACTAAACAAACACTAGGGGGCGCAAGCCAAAACTTCTAGTTTCCCTTTAAATCCCACAGTCTTATCAGGAGGTGCGGCTTAACCAACGGTTGGGAAAGACATTAATGATGCATCACAATCAAAATATGCAGGAAAAAGTCAAAAGATCACAGAAAAAATATTCAATTAAATAAAAAACTTTTGGGCGACTGATTTCTGCAGACCTCTGGCGTTTTCCCACACTAACATTAACACCTACAGACCCTCTCTGTGGCATAATGGTGTCACATTTACACATGTCCACTAAACAGTACTTAAAGTTATGAGCTGCCTTCATTGTAGGTTGGGAAGGCTCGGATCTGGGGTTTCAGACAGCTGGAGTGGGCTGGTGCATGGATGACGGGGAAAGCAGAGATTAACTAATTTTAGTCCGCTTTATTGCTAAGATACACTAATTCTCCAAAACCAGAGTCTCAGACGAGCCCCATGTGGTGTTTCTACGTCTTTAATCAAAGGATTTAGTGTCAGAGGAAAAAAACAAAACCAACATCTGAAACTTGTTGTTTGTTCACGGTCTGCCAAATGATCAAATTTTTAATTACTGGAACAACAGTGAGTTGCTAAAAATAGCACAAAGTGGCTGTATAATAATGGGGAATTTGAAGCATAGTGACAGTCTGTCAGTGCCTAAAAGGAAGTGATTGTGTTTATTTATTATGTGATCTGGAAGTGGTGAGATGTGAAGTGCTCAGTTCAGCCACTAGGGGCTGAGCAGCCCTGCAAGTGTACAGTTCATTTACACTAACAGAGCTGAAGGTGCTGCACACTTATTTCACACTCTCTCTGCTCCGTTTTCTTTACTAATTCTGAAAACTTTTCTGCAAATGTTAAGTATTTGTTTAACGCACAGTAACTCATTATAGATTACAGCGCAAACCCAACAAACACCTTTCGTGTTTTAATCTAGTAAAACGAGAAGACAGATTTATTTCCTGCATCCTAAAAAAATACATGAAAAAAACTTAATTATGATGCAAATATTAAAACAAGCAACACATAAAACAAGAAATAGAAGTGAAAAACTAAATGGCGGTCTTGTTTTCAGGAGAAAATATAAAAATATCTTCATTGGATTTTAATCAGGCATTAATGTGTTTTTACCACAAAAACCCTAAAATGTCACTTGCAAATGAGCTAAACTGAAAAAAATATACAAACAAGAAATGAAAACAGGAAATAAAACTTCTCTTGCTCCTCATCAATTTGCATTTAGATGATGTTGTGATTATATTTCCAGATTAAACAGCAGGATGTTGTGAAATCGAATTTTTACACCTCATGGCCCAAATTAGAAGCTGAATGAATGCAGATGAAAAAAAAAAGACAGGACTTTATGTGTTCGGCACAGAGAAAACCTTTGTGAGAAGCATATTAGTGTAAGGCTAATATTTCCAGGGTGAATATGGAGACTGTTTAAACCTGAGGAACATATCCATCAGAACAGAAAGGGCTTGTTTTTTACGGGTCTAAACTAGTCACACACACGTTTAATTTTTTATTTTTTACTTTTACAGACAAGTGGATACTCTGCCAGACTTCCAATGTGTCTAAATCACTCTCTCACACTAATTTGCTGTAGAAAATAATGTAAAACAACATGGCTAACCCTGTAAAATGTTTTAATGGTCTCAGAATATCCCAGCTTCTCCTCTGGGAGCAATGATTCAGTCAGAAAACTAATTAAACTGAGACTTCTACTGAGTCACATCTATGCTGGCATTTGCTCTCCTCAGCTGTTGCTAAAAATGTTCCTTTGGAGGTGTGTTCAGCTTTCTTCACCTTCACAAAGCATTTAACATACTTAGAAAAATGACAAAAGGGTGAAACTGGATTAGGATTAAGCCAAAAACAGTCCAAGTATAACTTGAGTCTTTCTCTTGGACAAAACTCGACAACTAAACAGAAGATCAAGAACCTGTTTAGGGTTTTTATACGAGTTACCACAGCTTAGTACGCACAGAACCTCTCCATAAAGAACAATCAGACGTCTGCAGTCATATCACTGACCTGATTTCTCCGCAGCAGCGGTGAGTTTTAAGAATACCAGGGTTATTCCAGGTCATGTTGGTGACACACCCAGTGCCCCAATGAAAGGCTTCTCCATCACCACCAACACAAGAGCTCCTGCAACTGTCAATTAAGACCACTGAGTGTAGGCACCGACTACATGTGGTGACTCTGTGCCATGACTCAGTGACTGTTAAATACCTGAAAGGGCCAATAAAAACAATTACATCGAGGCCCGACAGCAGGATTAGACAGCATTTTACACACAAGCACCAGTTCAGTGAGGGCATGGAGACAAGAGAGCACCACAGAGAGATGAGACTGTGGGTTTCAACTCAAACACAGGTGATGGTGGCAAACCAAAAAGTCTAGCATCCATCCGTTCCCTCTGTCTGCGAAGATGTCGGGATCTGGAGCTGCTGGGCTGAAAGGACAACCTGAGCTCAGGGAATTTCACACCTTCGATGGCCCTGACCAGCGACAGGCAGAGACCATCACACCCTGGTGTTCCATGTCTGACCCAGAAGGTTCAGCAGCCATGAAAACTTGCTCTTCCCCAGGCCAAACAGGGGGCACCCAAGCTGGTGTAGACTTAGCAACTTGGCGATGTGTACTCTCCCTGTTATGTGGAGCAGGAGTGATTATGTTCCCAAGGAGACACCGTCTGGGGGTTTGGGTTAGGAGGAGGTGTGCTCGAAAGCGGATATTTTAGATTTAAGAAGGAGAGAAGAAGAAAAGGACTATTTTTAGTGTAGCACCACCTCACCCCTGCCACATGGACCTCAATGGATAAACCATCAATCCTGCTCAGTGGTCAACTTTCCTCGCGGGGTCACAACCATTAGGACAGTGGGAAGGTTAAAGAGAACTACTGTTGCAAAAACCTTCTGTCTCGCCCACCAATGCATTCTTCTTACATAGATATGATGGGCGATGGTGGCACAAGAGTTTAAGTCCCATTAGTCATCATCTCACTCTGGTGAATGTCCCCAGGGTTGCAGGTTAATTTTATATAGATTAGATTCGATTAGATTAGATGTATTCCCACACAGGAGACTTCAACCGCTTCTAGGTGGAAATGGACCAGACCCGATGGTTGTTATGACTGGTTCTGCTTCTGCTGCGTACACTCATTCAATTTCACTTTTATCTTTGTTCGTGAAGTCGCGCCGTTGTCTCTTTGTTTTGTATTGGTGGCGTTGGAGACATCTTTTCGGGGGGTTAACCAGGATTAACAGTCAAACCGGTTGATCTCTGCAACCCTAGCTAAGATGCATTAAAAACACAATTCAACCACCTTAGCTTAAAAGAAGCATAATTGGTGAACAGAGACAAATGTTAGATTCAGCTGTAATCAAACGATTAAGAGCTAATAACGACATATCTGCTCTTTATGATTTGCTGTCTTTTTACTGTCAAACATGCCTGAATTAAAATACAGAATGGTAGACAGAGCTCACATTGAACTGCAGCAGAGCCACAGCACTGCAAACACAGATGCCTGGCCTTCATCCGCACAAATGAGCCTTTCAATCTTTCCCCTCACTTTTTGTCCCATCAGTACTTTAACTCTTC